ATTAATTATTATGGAACTTTTTTTTTACACACAAATCTTTTTATTACTATTTCTGAGATTTTATGGCGCCAGTGAAGAAATTCGAACCTACATTTCAAAATAATAATGATTACTTTCGATACAATTAACCAATTTTGATAAAACAAAAATTAAATATAACTCGAAGATACGCTTTATGATTTTCTTAACGATTTCTTTGAAAAAAAAAGATGTTTACTTTAGACGTGATGCGTTCATAAAAAAACAGACAAACAGACAGACAGACAATTCTAAAAATTATAAAAATGTACTTATTTTATTTATTTTCAGTTCTCCATAATGATTTTAGCCACAAAAATATACTATACAATGTACAGAAACAGACACATGATATCATTTTTATTATATGTATATATTTAAAGAGAGGACTGACGAGAAGATCGTGGAGCTGGAAGAAGAGATAGACAAGTTACGCTGGCATATTATAGGATTATCCGAAGTCCGAAGAGAGGGGGAGGACACGGTAATCCTCGAATCCGGCAACTTGCTCTATCACCGGGAGGGCGACCATCTGTCCCAAGGAGGTGTCGGATTTATCGTCCACAAGTCTCTCGTTAACAACGTTGTAAAGATTGAGTGTGTCGACGAGGGTTGCGTACCATATACTCAGAATCACCAAACGGTATTCACTGAAGGTCATACAGGTTCGCACCAACCTCGGCACACCCCGCTGAGGAGGTGGAGGAAATGTATGAGAATATCTCTAGAGCCATGCATTCCTCCAAAACCCAATATACGGTGTTAATGGGAGGCTTCAACGCAAAACTAGGCACAAGAGAGAACGGTGAGCTGAAGGTAGGGAAATTTGGAATAGGGCAACGGAACCCAAGGGGCCAGCAACTGGCCGACTTCATGGAGAAAAAGGGACTCTTTGATGATGAACTCTTTCTTCCAGAAGCGGCCCCACAGGAAGTGGACCTGGTCGAGCCCCGACAGTTCGACAAAAAATGAGATTGACTTCATTATGACGACCAGACGACAACTGTTCAGTGATGTCTCCGTGATCGCGAGGGTGAAAACTGGTAGCGATCACCGAATGGTTAGAGGCACACTGAACCTAAACGTTAAGTTGGAGAGGTCGCGTCTAATGAAGTCAACGCTCCGTCCCCCTCGTGCTCTGTTCCGAAGTCCCGAAACCTTTCAGCTCGAGTTACAAAACCGTTTTCAGTGCCTAGAAGACTGCAATGAAGTGGACGATATGAATGACAAGCTCGTGGAAACTGTCCATGCGGTCGGAGCTAAGTTCTGCAAGACCCGCCGCAGAAGAACACAAAAACTCTCCGATCACACTCTTAATCTCATGGCTATTAGACGGGAGATGAAGCTACATTCTTCAACAGATTTGACAGCATACAGGCAACTGAACAGACAGATCTCCAAATGCATGCGGCGGGACTTACGCAACTTCAATACAGCTTGTATTGAAGAAGCGATCGAGCGGAAGCAAGGCTCCAAAGTCTTTGCCAGAGATCTGTCTGCCAGAAAGAGCCAACTGTGAAAGCTGAAGACCGAGTGTGGCAGCATCGTTTCCGGGGCACCTGAGATTTTGAGTGAGATTGAGAGGTTCTATGGGCAGCTACACACGTCATCGTTGGAGCCACACGCAAGTGTGAGTAACGATCCAAGAGCGAGTTTTATCCGACACTATTCCGAAGATATCCCGGACGTCAGTCTGAGCGAGATTAGAATGGCTCTCCAGCACGTTAAAAACGGCAAGGCCCCAAGCGAGGATGGAATTACAGCGGAGCTTCTGAAAGCGGGTGGAAAACCGGTACTTGAAGTCCTTCAGAAGCTTTTTAATTCCGTTCTCCATGGTGGCGTTACACCGGAGGCGTGGAGCAGAAGTGCGGTGGTCTTGTTCTTCAAGAAAGGTGACAACGCTCTCTTGAAGAACTACAGACCGATTTCCCTTCTGAGCCGCGTCTACGTGCTGTTTTCGAGAGTCATTACGAATCCGTCTCAAGCGCAGACTTGACGACTTCCAGCCTTCCGAACAAGCCGGTTTCCGAAAGGGCTTTAGCACCATAGACCACATACATACCCTTCGGCAAGTTGTACAGAAGTCCGAGGAGTACAATTTGCCACTATGCCTGGCGTATGTGGACTATGAGAAAGCCTTTGATTCCGTCGAAATTTGGGCGGTGCTGCAGTCCCTTCAGCGGTGCCAAGTTGACTGTCGGTATATCGAAGTGCTGAAGTGCTTGTACAGTAGGGCTACGATGGCTATCCGAGTACAAAACCAGAGTACGAAACCTATCCAATTGCAGAGAGGTATAAGACAGGGTGACGTTATATCCGCGAAACTCTTCACCGCTGCATTGGAAGACGTTTTCAAGCTTCTGGACTGGAAAGGATACAATATTATACATCAATGGCGAGTACATCACTCACCTTGGATTTGCCGACGATATAGTCCTTATGGCAGAATCGCTGGAGGAACTAAGCACCATATTCAATGACCTCAATAGTGTTGTGGCGGCGCTGTCGTCGCGCCACAAGCGAAACATATCGAATCCTAAATCGCACTAACAAAGTTCCGAAGTTCAAGCAGCATATATAGAATAGCTCCGAACTACCAATCGGAGCGTTGGCCGCTCCCCGGGCAGAACACCTTGCCCGGCGGGAGATCTCCCGTGATATGAACACGCAACCAACAACCTTCGGAAACTACAACTTCAAAACCTTCGTCATCGTCCTCAAGTACCCCATTCATTCGCTCCGCTCCGCTTCGCAAGTCATCTAGCTTTACAAAGGTTCATCGCAGCACTGGAATAATAATGCTTCCTGTTCCTTCAAGCTACTCTCTGCACTACAGTGTTCGGCACGGCTCTGAGCCTTACTGCTCGCCTCTGCTTCACGGCACTCTCTCAGATTACTTGCCTTCTTCTCGACTCACCGCAGACTACAAGGCAATTCCTGGCACTTGCAATCGGACTGCACTATCAGACCTCCGGTCTGAGCAGGGGGTGATGTGGCGGCGATGTCGTCGCGCCACAAGCGAAACATATCGAATCCTAAATCGCACTAACAAAGTTCCGAAGTTCAAGCAGCATATATAGAATAGCTCCGAACTACCAGTCGGAGCGTTGGCCGCTCCCCGAGCAGAACACCTTGCCCGGCGGGAGATCTCCCCTTTTCCTTCCACCCGCCACAGTGTCTCCCAACGGATAGGTCTTAAGATGAACATGGACAAACAAAGATCATGTTTAATGTCCATGTCACACCTATGCCGGTAGTTGTTGGGAGCACTAAGCTCTAAGTTGTTGACGAGTATGTTTACCTGGGACATATAGTCCGACTAGGTAAGTCCAACTTCAACCGAGGTCAATCGACGGATTCAACTCGGCTGGTCAGCGTTCGGGAAACTACGACACATCTTCTCGTCAGACATACCTCAAAACCTTAAAACGAAATTGTAGAACCAGTGCGTGTTGCCAGTGATGACTTACGGATCTGACACGTGGTCCTTCACTGCTGGCCGTATGAGGAAGCTCAAGGTCGCTCAGCGAGCTATGGAGAGGGCTGTGCTCGGGGTTTCTCTGCGTGATAAACTTAGAAATGAGGATATCCGCAGTAGAACCAGAGTAACCGACATAGCCCAACAGATTAGTAAGCTGAAGTGGCAGCGGGCCGGCCATATAGCTCGAAGAACCGACAACCGATGGGGAAGAAAGGTTCTTGAGTGGCAGCCTCAGTACCGGTAGGCGAAGTGTAGGGCGACCCCCCACGAGATGGAGTGACGACCTGGTAAAACATGCAGGAAGTTGATGGATGCAGGTGGCTCAGGACTGTGCTTTGTGGCATTCCTTGGGGGAGGCCTATGTTCAGCAGTGGACTTATGAAAGGCTGTAATGATGATGAATGATGAATATATTATTTAATACGTTCTTTAATATTTTTGTTTACTGCGTTTTAGATATACATAATTATATCATTATAGAACATTATTTACATCATTTAATTATGATTTATGATATGATATTAGTTTAAAATGCAATTGATGACTCAACCAAAGCCACCGTTGAGCAAATTCGTACCTATACTTCCCTACCCATACTTCAGAATATTTATCATAACTTTTGATGGAATGGACAGATTTTAATGAAATAAAGACTAAATGTAACCCGAAGTTACACTTTATAATTTCCTTAACAATTCTTATGATATAAATCAGTACTTTATACGTGATACGTTAACAAACAAACAGACAGACAGACAGAAAATTCTAAAAATGGTAGAAATGTATTTAATTACTTATTTTTAGTACCCCTCAATCACTTTTATTACAAAAATGTAAAATGTATAGACATCTGCTATTTACATTTTTATTATATGTATAGATGTATAGATGACGCTGAAGGCGTGTCATCATGACCAACTTTTTTTATGAATGCTTGGTGTTATATGGATTATCTTTATCCGGTGGTTCCGAATCCACCCCGTCGACGTCCATCGTGTTAGTTAAGAATACATAAATTGATTAACTATAGCTACTTACCAACAAATAAGTAATGAACAACACAACACAAATTTATATAATAACAAACACAGAAGACGGCAAAGATATTAACGAAGCTCAACACAAAAATATATCCGAAAATCGCTGAAACACGTGTCACTACTGATACACTACCAATTACTCTGACAGCAAAACTCAAATGTTGTGCTGTCTTTATCACTAAGTCAAAGTGACTGTGACACAACGCACAACGAGACTTAACGACATCTTAAAACTGAGTAGCGTTTGAGTATTTGGTCTAAAGACAACAAATGATAAAAGTAATAAACTTATATGCATATATTTTCTAAAATCGATAATTTTGAGACACATTTTATCTTGACATTTCTACATCTACATTGTCTGAAAATTTTAATTTTATGGCAATTGTGTTTGGTGTTGTAACATCAGCCACCAATATTTCCGCGCCATTATATAATCCAAGTTCCGTTATTTTCTTTTTCAAATTATCTCTTGTTCTTTCCTCTATACTCTTGATCGAAGGCATATACAAGGTCTTGTTACGTCCATTGATAACTGTTGTTATACCTTAAAATTAAACATTCATTATTTAAAATGCATAAATTTTAAATGTAAAAGCTACAACCACAATTAGGTGATCATGGTTTCTTATAAATCAAAGATTAATTTCGAGGTATTAGACCATTATGTTTGGTCTTTAAGTCTCAAACAATTCTTTAGTGTGTGATTGTAGACGCATTAGGAAGTGGATACAGTTTCTAATGCGTCGATCGTCGCTTAAAACTTTTGTCTAGCTTTTACAGGGCAACACTTAAAATGTCTTTAAAATCAAGTTTCTTTTGAAGTATTACTAATTTTCATGAAACCAGTAGGGATTTTCGCTGGCTATAACGCATTTTGTATGTAATGGACGCTGAATGCCCACCCGCTTTATACGTGAGAATTTACAAAAGAAACGGCTATTTTGTAATTTCTCATTTTTGTTTATTACACAATCACCCACCGCCAACATTCGCGATTACGGTTTTATATAACATATCCGTGGATGGTAGTAGGTGCTGAAAATGTATACCGTCACTGAATGTTTAAGATTAACATTCCAGTCTTTTTCTATAAACTTTAAGAAAGATCTAAAAAGAAACCACTGTCAATATATGGCTACGCTAGTCGGGTTTTGCAGCTAACACATTTTTATTACATATTTCTTAATTGATATCTTATATTGGAAGTATGTATATACTAATTTAAACAAAAACTGAAAGTTATGATGAAACACGATGTAATGACAGATGAATAGAATGGAATCATAATGGGCTCTTGTATGACCGTGGGACTTTTAAAATATAGTATTTCATATCATCAAAATAAACAACCTGGATTTTTCATGAGATATGCTTGATCTTCCTTCAGCTTCTCATATATGTCCATCAAAACTGCATCTGCCTCAACTTCCAATATGCGAGTTGTATTACTACAGGCAACACAATCTGGTTTCTTCTCTGCACTAAATGTATAGGTGTATACTCCATCAGCCATGTTGAGAACCATATAATTGTTCATGTTAGTACAACATGATGATGCTAGCTTGAAAACCTGGAAATAAACAATTTTTATATTATTATCATTATGTTCAACCTCATCTATAACCTACTATAATGCTCTTTAGAATATAAGATAATATTATAAAGCATTTAAAACTTCGTGCCGATGATTGAAAATGTACTTATTTTATTTTGGAAAATAAAATAATTCCAAGTTTTATATACAACTTAAGACTGCCCTCCATGATCAAAATCAAATTATGTCAATTTATGATGATGACAGAATTTTTAGAGAAGATGATGATACAATGAAGCCGTCTTAAATAATAATAAAATTAGATAGTACAACTTAAAAAAAACTAGGTTAGTATAAAAAGGGTTATTATAATATTAAGGAATTTATGGGTGATAATAACCCCTGGGAATGAGGCGATTGCTAGCAAGCTATTTCTAATTTGTTTTGTGTGGTTAATTGTGTAACATGATTGTGAGCTGTTATTTAAAAGAAAAAGTCCTACTGGGTTTCTTGCTGGTTCTTTCCAGGGCAGAGGCTTTTTTTTAAACCATTGGTAATTAAACAAAAAAGTGACATTCAATAAATATTATTTATAATCTATATTGAATAAAAGTTTCAGTTTCTCTTTCATTTAATATTTTTTTACTTTAAAAGTACGAGGGTGGATTGAAAAGTACTCGGCCTAACACAGATCCATTCAATTCTAAAAATCAAATCTACCCACATTATTTAGTTCAGTTCAGACTAGTTCATTGTGTGAAGTTCGAAACGTGTGCGATAATTAGTTGTGATTTTATAAATTTATTAACAAAGTAATCGGACATAATTTCCGCGAATGGAGCAAATCGAGCAGCGTGCCGTCATTAAGTACCTCCATAAGAAGGGGCTATCATCAAAAGCCATCCATGATGACATGATCAGTACATTAGGCGATTGTGCTCTGTCATATTCATCCGTCAAAAAATGGATAGCAGAATTTAAGCGTGGTAGAGAGAGTGTGAAAGATGAACCCCGCTCTGGAAGGCCTTCGACGTCTACTACTGACGACAATATTAAAAAAGTACTTGATTTAATAATGGGAGACCGCAGATTAAAAATTAGAGAGATAGCCGAGATTATAGGCATCTCTTATGAACGAACTCAAAACATCATTGTCAACGAGTTGGGTTTCCACAAGGTGTCTGCGAGGTGGGTTCCGCGACTGCTTTCAGTTGAACAAAAAAGGACGCGATTGACTATTTCACGCGACTGTTTGGAGTTATTTGAAGCCGATGCAGATGATTTTTTGAATCGTTTTGTTACTATGGACGAAACATGGGTTCATTACTGTACACCGGAAACAAAACAACAATCAAAACAGTGGAGAAGACCTGGTTCACCACCCCCTAAAAAGGCTAAGTCGATTTTGTCGGCAAATAAGGTGATGGCTTCAGTATTCTGGGACTCGAAAGGTGTGATTATGATTGATTATCTTGAAAGGGGTCAGAATATAAACTCTGATTACTACTGCACCTTACTATGTCGTTTACGAGAGGAAATAAAAGAAAAACGTCGAGGAATGCTCAGAAGAAAAGTCCTGTTTCATCAAGATAACGCCCGTGTTCACACGTCAGTACAGTCAATGGCTGAAATTCACAACTGTGGCTTTGAAGTGTTACCGCATCCGCCGTATTCACCTAATCTGGCACCATCAGACTTCTTTCTGTTCCCTAACCTAAAAAAGCACTTGGGAGGTCAAAGATTTTCGACAAACGACGAGGTCAAAGCAGCTGTAGACGCATATTTTGACTCTAAGGAAGAATCATTTTTTTTCAACGGTCTAAATGCTTGGAAGGGGAGGTGGCAAAAGTGTATTGAACTTGATGGTGATTATGTAGAAAAATAAAAATATAACTGATTTAGTATTTGTTTATTTTCTTGGTTAGGCCGAGTACTTTTCAATCCACCCTCGTAGAAAAAATGCAACATATAAATGGTACTGCTTATTTGATTTTCGCACAATTACTTATTTTGCTTGTTTTGTAATTTAAATTATTTAACCAGATTAATGAATTTAACAATAACAGAAGCTCACTGACTAACATTAACATTTTTAAAGTACCAACTAGACAGTCGACATTCTAATTTGTCTCTATAGTGTTACATTTATGTTAAAAATGTGGTGTGTAAAAAATAAACATTAAAACCGATTAATAATCTACGGAGACAATGTGTAACAAACATACAAAAAAACCTCTGATATCCTTCATTTTAATCTGTTAAAAACTTAAAAAAAAACCTCATTGATCGTAAGTTTCACAAGTAGTGATGATCTTAGTGAGAATATAAAATATTTTAGTGTCATTGGTTCATACATAAAGAAAACATCAGATTATTCAGACATCCAGAAGTGGGTGGAAAATGAATTGAAAATTCCATTAAATTCATACATATACATACATGTTTAATGTCCTCCAGACCGAATTTCGGTTAAGGCATTCAGTCTCAACGAAAACTAGCCACCTGTGCAGGACAGGATCATAGTACTTTACGTGCTTTCCAAGGAACTGACTGAAGATTTCTTGACAAAATACCCCAATAATTGATTTTGGACCGAGCCATGATTCGAACCTAAGATCACAAGATCAGCAGTACGAACACTATATCAACAAGGCTGTAACATACATACATACACACAGATCAAACTGATAAAAGCGGGTTATCATCATCACTACTACTAATAACCTAACCTAACCTAACCTACATAGGTACCTATTGCGATTAGTTATACTGGGTAGGTATATTAATTACTACCTACTTAGATACTTTTTACCGAATTAGGGTGGATGCCCCTAATACCAGTCATGCCCCTAATTCCAGTCTTTTCGCCTTTTTACTCCATAAATAAGATTTCTAGTAGTCTTAACTACAAATATTGTCATCTAAAAAATTGTTTGTACCTAGAGGAAAGTATATTTATTCAAATATTACCTCGCAGTTTTAAACCTAACAGTGTTAAATTAAAAATCAAAACACGTACGCAACGAAAAACGATAATTTTCCTAATTATTTGACAAGTTATGATCCCGGTAAAATTATGCTTACTTTACATTATCTCATATATAGGCTTTTTGATTTGTATGAATATGACTATAGACATAGTAATGCAGTTATTTTTGTTTGAATTTACAAGTTATTTATTTTCTTTTAGTGGAAATTAATGGGCTGTAATTAGATATAAGAAATGTATGGAGTGCATAATGTCAGCCGCCCGGCTGTTATTTGGTTTGACGTACCTAATAAAAAGTACCTAATTTCAACCACGTAATATAAATCAGGGCTGCCATAAAGAGGAATAAATACCATTAATTAGATCATAACTTATTTTATAGCTAAGGGAGTTATGATCAATTCGTCTGTTTTAAAGTTGGTTTTAGATTTTAAAGTTTAGCAAAAGATGTACTAGCTTTTCTCTCTGACATTCGGCGTATATTAAGAACACCTTATGTACTCAATTATTTTTTGAAAAAGAAGAAAAATACTATCAATAAATAATATACTATATTTTAGCAAAATCTATAACTTAGTAATACTAATTATAACTTAGAACATAAATGAAAAACTCATAACTGACTTTTTTGCCCGACCCGGGATTCGAACCCGGGACCTCATGATCAGTAGTCGCACTACTACAACCACTGGACCAACGAGGCAGTACTATACCTACTAAGATATTATGGTTGGGTATTAGGATTATTTTTAACTGTATACTATACTGATAATATTGAATTAGCCTTTTATAGTGTAAATTATAATATTTGTCGAAATGTTAATTATGGAGTCGAACCTTACATGCTAATGGTGCTTCATTTTTTTATTTGCATTTACTTCAAAGAAAATACACGCAAAAAGCTTCATCGCCCAGTAAAAAACACAACAAATATATGTATAACTAATACGAAAAATTATACCCAAAACAAACAAATAATTTACCTATTTACCTATAAATTACCTAATAAATAATAATATTATCGACTGATAAGATGACGTGAGCGTGTGCGCTGGCCGACGCTGTGACTAACGACACGGGTTTCACCTTCAATATCTCAGCACTCACTGACTCCAGCAAGCCCGTGGGCAGTGAATACGCCCAGTTTTTAAAATAATTTCTTAATAAAATCAAATTGTGGTCTTGTGAAAAAAAATTTATAATAGAAATGTTCATTAATAAATTACCTATCCATTGGTATAAATCGCAAAATAAAATAATACTTACTTTACGAGGAGATGCATGTTATCAATAATTATTTCACATTTATGTGGTTTCGTTGTAAGGAGATTATTTTAATATTTATTCCTTTAAAAAAAAAATTGGATATAGCTCTTATGGAATCAAGATTATGTAGAAATATAATGTGTTTTTTATTTGTTGATATATCTTTTAAATAAAAAGTAGATAGCTCTAAAAAGCGCGACATTTTGCTCAACCTGCGCCTTAAAAAGGATATTTAGATATTTATCATATTATGTGGTTTGTAAAATAGCTTTGATAAACTAAAACCTCAGACCTGAACAACTTCCCTCTCCGCGATAGACACAATAGTTAAACAATGGAAATTTTCATATAAGTATAGGACTCATGGGACAGTGAAATGGTTAATGTTAAAAAAAAACAGATCATTATTATTGCTCTTCCTTGACTCTACATACCTCAGTTGCACATGTAGCAGCTATTGCAGCATTTGTGCTGGCTACAGCAGGAATAATGTTTTTCAATACACCTTGAGTCAGTCTGTAGGTAACTGATGTTATACCATGTTTTGTGGCCCTCTCTTGTGCTTTTTCAAACACCCATGCTACATGTTGTGGGTCATCTCCATCCAATGGAGTTGCATTACCCCAAGGATTCTCCTTAGGCCACTGAATAACTTTTACATATTCAATACAGTGTTCAGGCAATCTAAGCAATACAAAAAATAAGTTTTAGTATTTAAAAAAAATCCTTTCACTTATAATGGTATAAAATATAACACTAAATATATGCACAAAAACGGAGACATTTACCTTCTGCTACTAGTGCTTAACGAATACCTCATGTAATAAGTTCAGATTAAGGTTTGTTTGTGATCAATACCAAAGTTAACTGCTGTATTATACAAAATTATGTTAATTTATGTGATAGAGCCAAAGTGCATCTATATTATGGTTGTAGCACGAATGGTTCAGCTCATATGGTGAATGTAGAGAACCAGACTCTTTTTACTGGAAAAGGGGTATTCTGTCTTAGTCCTCAGGAGTGACAACACATCTGCAATTTAATTTTTAATCGAGGATAATTGTAGATGTCTATGGGCCACAGCAACCACATACCATCAGATGGACTGTGCTCGTTTGTCACCCTTATTCTATATACACCATTGACCAAATGTCTGTATATCAATGCAAATATGCCAAACTCAAATATCTCGCTCTAGTAAGGAGGAGCCGGAATATTAGTGATTTAGGTATGGAACTTTTACTAATATAAGATGTGAGTGAGTGTGTGGTGAGTAAGAAACAGATACCTATGTCCAACAATGGATTGAAAAAGGCTGACAATTTATTTATTTATTAAACTTAATCATAACAGGAATTACCTAATACATCAGTGTAGTTCTTTTCAACCAACTTAAATAAAGGAAGGAAGAAAAGAAGGTTAACAATTCATTGGAATCTTTTTTTTTTTTTATGTATGTTCACCGATTACTCGAAGATGCCTGAACCGATTTGGAAAATTCTTTTTTGCTTCAAAGAGTATATTTAACAGGTCGTGCCATTTAAATTTTATCGAAATGAGTCAAGCGGTTTTTAAAAAATCAACAATAAATTGTATTTATATTGAAGTTGGTTGTACAAAATTATTAATTTTACCACTTGTTATAGTTAACAAGTGGTAATATAAATTATTAAGGATAACTCAAAACCTGCTAGTCAGACCGTGATTAAATTAATTTTGACGCAACAACGTTTTCTAATTTGATGAAGCTGGCTGCACGCACGAAAAAACATGACTCATGCGGCGTACTTGAATTGAGTACCTCTTCCTTTTTGAAGTCAGTTAAACAAATTACAATAAATCCCATCTTATAATGAATGATATATGAATAATAAATACAGCCCAAAACATTACGATTCTGTATCATGACACCAAAAGAGTGTTCAGAAATGGAACCAAGGTGGTAGAAACCAACTTTTAATTGTAGAATAATTATTATAATTTTTTCTAACAAAAATTAGACGTGTGGTGGCGACCTGAGAGAAGCTATCAACCCATTTATACATGATAGAGCCACACTAAAGTGTTTTACATCTGCAGCACTACTGTGTGCTTTACAAAGACAGGACCATACTGGCTTTGAATACTACAGGCATAGCACTGCTGTATTTTGTATAATGAGTAGCGAGGATTGGATATCCATTTAATGGTAACAAGACATTTTATCTTAGTTCTCATGGCTGACATTGCATCTGTATTTTGATGACTTTCTTAATCAATTATATTTGTATATTATGTAGATATCTGTGGACTGACAGAGAAGAAATAAGAACTACTAAATTGTCAGTCAATTGCACAAATTTCACATGTATCCCTGTATATATTTTTTTTATTTTTTCCTAGCAATGTTTTATTCCACTGCCGAGGCATGTAGTTAATCAGCAATTAAAATTACAATTAACAATTTTATTAGTGCCGGCGGGAATCGAACCTGAGTGCTCACATACTGTGCTTTTAATGAAAAAAGCACAGTACGTGCGAGAAAGCCCCTGAACTACCACGGCTATTGATTATCATAGAATAACCAATTAATGTAATAATAAATACATTTTATGAACTTAAAGAGGAAAAAACATACATAGTAGATATTTAAACAAAATAATATACCTTGGTGTATTAGCAATAGTACACAATGGAAAGGTTTTTTGCGGAGGATATAAATCTAGTGTACATTCTATGCAAGCACTCATTCCTGGTAAAATAACTCTTGCATTGCCCTTAAATCCTTCTGTTCCCCCATCAACCAAAGGTATGACACTACTTTGATCTAAGCTTCCTGAAAATAGTATAATAAGATAACCGTAACAAACAGTGGCGTAGCGTGCCTTAGATGGGCCCTGTATCAAAATTTGTTGGGGGGCCCCAATGAAGAGTAAAGATTTCACAAAAGGAACAAAAACGCTTGCATTGAATTCAAATTATTATATATTGATTTTAAGTTAATAATCATCATCATTACAGTCCTTCACAAGTCCCCTGCTGAACATAGGCCTCCCCCAAGGAATGCCACAAAGCACGGTCCTGAGCCACTTCCATCCATCGACTTCCTGCATATCTTACCAGGCCGTCACTCCATATAGTGAGGGGACGCCCTACACTTCGCCCGCCGGTACGAGGCCACCACTCGAGAAACTTTTTTCCCCATCGGTTGTCGGTTCTTCGAGCTACATAGCCGGCCCATTGCCACTTCAGCTTACTAATCCGTTGGGCTATGTCGATCACTCTGGTTCTACTGCAGATATCCTCATTTCTAAGTTTATCACGCAGAGAAACTCCGAGCCCTCTCAATAGCTCACTGAGCGACCTTGAGCTTCCTCATCCGGCCAGCAGTGAAGGACCACGTCACAGTACCATAGGCCATCACTGGCAACACGCACTGGTTGTACAGTCTCGTTTTCAAGTTTCGAGGTATACCTGACGAGAAGATGTGCCGTAATTTCCCGAACGCTGCCCAGCCGTGTTGAATCCGTCGATTGACCTCTCAGTCGAAGTTGGACTAACCTAGTCGTACTATTTGTCCCAGGTAAACATACTTGTCAACAACTTCGAGCTTAGTGCTCCCGACAAATACCGGCATAGGTACCGGTACGGTACAGGTACCGACATGGACATTAAACATGATCTTTGTTTTGTCCATGTTCATCTTAAGACCTATCCGTTGGGAAACACTACTGAGGTCATTAAGCATAGTACTTAGGTTCTCCAGTGATTCTGCCATAAGGACTATATCGTCGGTAAATCGAAGGTGAGTGAGGTACTCGTCATTGATGTTAATACCGTATACTTTCCAGTCCAGAAGCTTGAAAACGTCTTCCAATGCAGCGGTGAAGAGTTTCGGGGATATGACGTCACCCTGTCTTACACCTCTCTGCAATTGGATAGTTTTTGTACTCTGGTTCTTTACTCGGATAGCCATCGTAGCCCTACTGTACAAGCACTTCAGCTCTTCGATATACCGACAGTCAACTTGGCATCACTGAAGGGACTGCAGCACCGCCCAAATTTCGACGTAATCAAAGGCTTTCTCATAGTCCACATACGCCAGACATGTGTATCATGTCACAAACAAACATGACAGTGGCAAATTGTAATCCTCGGATTTCTGTACAATTTGCCGAAGGGTGTGTATGTGTTCTATGGTGCTAAAGCCTTTTCGGAAACCGGCTTGTTCGGGAGACTGGAAGTCGTCAAGTCTGCGCGCGAGACGATTCGTAATGATTCTCAAAAACAGCACGTAGACGCGGCTCAGAAAGGAAATCGGTCTGTAGTTCTTCAAAAGAGCGTTGTCACCTTTCTTGAAGAACAAGACCACCGCACTTCTGCTCCACGCCTCCGGTGGAATGCCACCATGGAAGAGTTAGATTACCGGTTTTCCACCCCTTTCAGAAGCTCCGCTGTAATTCCATCCTCGCCTGTGGCCTTGCCTTTTTTAAGGTGCTGGAGAACCATTCTAATCTCGCTCATACTGACGTCCGGTATATCATCGGAATAGTGTCGGATAAAACTCGCTCTTGGATCGTTACTCACACATACGTGTGGCTCCAAGGATGATATGTACAGCCACCCATAGAACCTCTCAATCTCACTCAAAATCTCAGGTGTCCCGGAAACGACGCTGCCACACTCGGTCTTCAGCTTCGACAGTTGGCTCTTTCTGGCAGACAGATATCTAGCAAAAACTTTTGAGTCCTGGTTCCGCTCGCTTCTTTACTACGAGCAGAATTAAAGTTGCGTAAGTCCCACCGCATGCATTTGGAGATCTGTCTGTTCAGTTGCCTGTATGCTGTCAAATCTACTGAAGACTGCAGCTTCATATCCCGTCTAACAGCCATGAGATCAAGAGTGTAATCGGAGATTTTTTGTGTTCTTCTGCGGCGGGTCTTGCAAAACTTAGCTCCGACCGCATGGACAGTTTCCACGAGCTTGTCATTCATATCATCCACTGCATTGCAATCTTCTAGGCACTGAAAGCTGTTTCGTAGCTCGAACTGAAAGGTTTCGGGACTTTGGATAAGAGCACGAGGGACGGAGCGTTGACTTCATTAGACGTGACCTCTCCAACTCAACGGTTAGGTTCAGTGTGCCTCTCACCATTTGGTGATCGCTACCGGTTTCAGTCACTGAACAGTTGTCGTCTGGTTGTCATAATGAAGTCAAGCTCAATTTTTGTCGAACCGTTGGGGCTCGAGCAGGTCCACTTCCTGTGGGGCTGCTTCTGGACGAAAGAGTTCATCATAAAGAGTCCCTTTTTCACCATGAAGTCGGCCAGCTGCTGGCCTCTTGGGTTCCGTTGCCCTATTCCGGAAATTACCTACTTTCAGCACACCGTTCTCTCTTGTGCCTAGTTTTGCGTTGAAGTCTCCCATTAACACCGTATAGTAGGTTTTGGAGGAATGCATGGCTCTAGAGATATTCTCATACATATCCTCCACCTCCTCATCGGGGTGTTCCGAGGTTTGTGCGTAAACCTGTATGACCTTCAGCGAATACCGTTTGGTGATTCTGAGTATAAGGTACGCAACCCTCGTCGACACACTCCCAATCTATACAACGTTGTTAACAAGAGACTTGTGGACGATAAATCCGACACCTCCTTGGGACAGATGGTCGCCCTCCTGGTGATAGAACAAATTGCCGGATTCGAGGATTACCGTGTCCTCCCCCTCTTCGGACTTCGGATAATCCTATGACATTCCAGCGCAACTTGTCTATCCCTTCTTCCAACTCCACGATCTTCTCGTCAGTCCTCAGGGTGCGTGCGTTATAAGTTGCCAGGTTGAGTCGTCGTAGGTGGCAACAGAACCTCCACTGGAGATTCTTAGCACCTCCTGCTCCGCCGTTACCACGGTCGCCACCGTAGCCAGGAATAGCGGGGCCGCCGGGGACTGGGGGCCATCTCTTCGTTACTTTCATGGGGGATATATTGCCATAGTTGCCACGCTTGGCGAGCGGGTTGGCAACCGCAGTTTTTTATTGTTGTTGTGCTATTATCAGAAAGATGCTGCTGCCCATCCTCTGCCTCATTTTCCCTCTGTTGCCTTTTACGACACTCACGGGAAAATATAGGGTAGTGAGTTTTCGCCACTGCCACTCGTGCCACTACACGGGTTTTTGAGTTATTACTTACAATTAATACTCCCAGGAACTAAGCTAGCCAAACAATTCAAATCAAATATACACTTTTCGTGCCTTTTGTTCGGCGAACACAGCTGAAGAAGATTCGGCTGCATTCATAGCTGAAGACGATTTCAGTTTTACTAAATTCTTTACTTCTATAGACAATAGTGATAGCCTTTCCTGTCCCATAGAAGTCCTTGGAATTTTTACTCACACACGGTTGGGGCCCCTGTAGCCCGGGGGCCCCGTATCATTGATACAGCTGATACGGCGGTAGCTACGCCCCTGGTAACAAACCTACATCTTATTAAATAATGTACCAGTCGAATACTTTCCACAAAGCTCATTTCTGAGAGGGTTTTTGGAGAAGGCAAGAGTATTTGCTGCAATATCCCAGTGATCAGCGTGTATGTGTGTGTGTGTGTGTGCGCGCGTGCGTGCGTGTGTGCATGCGTGCGTGCGTGCGTGCGTGCGCGTGCGTGCGTGCGTGCGTGTGTGTGTGTGTGTGTGTGTGTGTGTGTGTGTGTGTGCGTGCGTGCGTGCGTGCGTGCGTGCGTGCGTGCGTGCGTGCGTGCGTGCGTGCGTGCGTGCGTGCGTGCGTGCGTGCGTGCGTGCGTGCGTGCGTGCGTGCATGCGTGCGTGCGTGCGTGCGTGCGTGCGTGTGAGCGTGACTTTTAGCGGTGCTGTGTAATATTGATTTTGGTATTTATAATTTTCAAGGCATTTCAGGCAAGCATGTGGTAAATAAAAAAATCTCTATAATGTATGTCTGTATATTTATCATTGTACATGTTGACATTTAGTTTTAGATTGCTCTGCAAGGTAGTCGACTTAGAACAATTGAAAAACATTTCTCTTGTTTAGTCAGGTAGTAAGATAATCATGGACTCAATTGTAACCCTGCATTCCATTTTGTTCCAAATTCACTTGAAATTTGGAACAAAATGGAAATTAAGCATCCTTCGATCTTTTATAAGAATAAGAGAATGAGGAAAGTCCAGTAAAACTTAGAAAAGTATTTCATCCCTATTTTATTGATATTTACTAAATCACTATTTAATAAATACTGTAAGCTACTATTTTCAATGTCACTAACACATATCAGACACTGGTTTTTCAAACACTGTGTTATTTAAAGCAAAAACCTTCACCATTCATACACTGATGTCCTCACTTTTATCATCGCCATAAATTTTATGAAAAAGAAGAAGGTAATAACCTAGCCTCTGAGCTACAGTACCTTCAATTTATTAGTAATGAGTATAAATAGTTTTATTGATACTTACTATCATCATTGTACTGCAATAATGTCATTAGCATACCATTAAGCCACCTTCTAGCAACAATTGAATCAAGTCCACAAACAATTATATGAAATTGACGATAGAAACCTTCATCTAAATCTTGAATAGCACAATGGTGTGCAACAGCCTCACAGCCAGGAACTCTGTAAGATTTTGAAAATTGAATGATACACTCCTTTTTTTTAAATGTAATTATTCAGCATTTACCCAATTAAGAATATACCTTTTGTTTACAAACTCAACAGCACACTTTGCTTTCGACAAACCTATATCTGATTTTCTAAAAAGAAATTGTCTATTTAAATTGGATAGTTCAATTGTATCCATGTCCACAATATGAATTTTTTTAAAACCCATTAACGCCAAGTCCTTCAGTAATTCACAGCCGAGCCCTCCAGCACCCACCACCAAAATTTTGCACGAATCCATTAGAAAATCCAATATCTCTGAAGATGGTTCAAAATCTGGATGACAAAACGGACCAGACCTTTCCAGTACTTTACGAATATTATGCCATCTTCTTTGTTGCTCAGGCATCTGTGCATCAACTGCAGCTGCAGCCATAGTTGTATTATTTTTTGAACGCAAATCTCTGTGACGCAAATGTAAATAGTTTAGGTCTTTTAAATTTTTATGGACATACTTTGATTGTTACAATACACCATACACAAACTATATAGAAAGTAGAAGAAACACTACGCATTCAGACGGACGCACAGAGTACTTTTTTATATAGGACGGACGTCTCCTTGCTACATATATATTTATCTATGGACGTCTCTGGTACATTTAGTTTGGACCGTAGAGCAAATCAGAACCTGACATTTCGTTTTTTTTTAAATATGAATTGGATATAGGCAAGGGAATAATTTTATTTCAGCCTAGCATAATTATATATATATATATATATATATATATATATATATATATAGGTATATACCTATATAATATTTTTATATTTATAATTTTAAAATTACTATTTTTATTATTATTATTTTATTATGAAGGAGGATTCGTAGAAATAAAATGCATTGTATATATTATTTATTATGATTTATTTTTTAAACTTGTTTAAGGTTTTTTTTTGGATTGGTGGCAATGTACACTTTTCGATTCTAATTATGTCCGTGCCTTTCAGAAACCCATATGTGGTACATGCTATAGAGTAAACATATAATTGCTCTCTTGCTGCTTGCACTTGAATATTTTCAGTGAAAAGTTTCTCTTCAATACATTCAATATCCAGTGTATTGAGCTGGAAAAAAGAATATTTAAATATATAAATTACAAGTTTAATATGCACATATTAAACTTGTTGCTAATTGTAATTGTTGTTGTTTATAAATGTTTGCATAGAAAATGTCAAGACAAGAGGCCATTGTAATCAGAAAGAGTTACTTTCACATAAATCTAAGAAGCTTTCACAATTATACAGAAATTTCCAATACTTTTTGAACATAATTATCATTGATACCTAAGATAATTAAGTACATTGTAGCAATTTTTGATGGAAGGTTGGGAGGATAAAAGTATATTTTGTAAAGTAGCCAATTATCTATTGGAGTCTATGTTCATGTTCTACTGCTGGGCACAGACTCTGTCTCATTTCTCAGAGGGGTATGAAACAATGAGTTGGGCAAGGTGCTTATTGGTAGACTACATCTTTAAAATATTTTTATTCCTTAGAGACACAGATTTCGTCACAATGTTCCAGAACATGATAAATTAGCACTTAAATTGGAATTAGCATTAATTCATTTATTTCAGTGGTGTAGACAAAGATCAAATTTGCTCAAAAATATAAACATATTACTAATCCTAATAAAAATATTATCTGAACTAAAGTTTTAGAATGGCGATCGTTTTGCAATTTAAATTTTACATGATTATTACCTTAATTTTTTTACTTCGTTGGGAATCACATGGTCATCATTTAGTTTATCTAACAAGCGCAATTGAGTATGCTTTGGCGTCTGTTTGCCATTTTGATACATTTCCATCAGTTATTATGTGTTTTGACAGCAAAATTATTCCTCATACCTTTATTTATGATGGCTGATCAAATATCACACTAAGTTTATTTGAACTGTATCATCTGAAATAAAAACATAAAAGATTGTTTGTCATTGTCATTCAGACATCCTTGATTTTGTAATTATTAAGACTAGAGGTGTGCGATTATGCATAAAATAATGTTGACAATTAATTATTTAAAATAAAAGAATTCCTCATTTACTTCAGCCATTAACTTACAATTTTAATAAATTATTATAAAAAGAATTTATTATTATGTTTCATTCATCATTCATTCATTGCAGACTATCATAAAGCTACTGGTAAACATAGGCCTTCATAGGTTATCATATAAGGTGTACATTTTCCATAGTTGTAACACTTGGCAGACAAGTTGGCAACCAGTTTATTATTATTACTAAGTTGTTATCAAAGAGATCACTTGAAATGCCAGGAATTAAGTAGTTTTATTCAATGTACAGTACTCCAGAATATACTGAGCAGTTACGTTTATTAAGGAATAATTAAATGTACATACCTTCGGCATCTTTGATGATAAACCTAACTCAATTTACTCCAAAGATTAGTGTTGAGTTTATCCAAGCTTTTTTAGCCTTATTAATGTCAGATTTAGCAGTATGAAACCCTTTATTCAAAAATTTTGTGACCAAGCAGGCTTCTTGAAAAGGTTACTGGAATGCAGCATACTTTTAAGTTTGTCACAGTTTATAAAGTCCAACCACTTGTTTCTTTGGCCTTCGTCAAACTCTTCTCTGTTACTTGCACAATTGGGAATGAAACACTTAAAAATACATTTTAAAACTAAAAATTATATACAAAATACACTAAAGCTAAAGAAAACGTCCCGTAGAAATATATAACCTATTAAACAATAAACATCCTTTCGTAAAATAGCAGTAAAATGCCAATAAAACTTTATTTATAATTTATAGTTAGTTCATACTTCATAGAAAAACAAAATGAAAATTTCCAAGAAAACTTTTTTTTTTTTTCCTTTCTTGGCCTGCACGGTTTGTGCGTCAGCCATGCAAAAAGGTTAGGAAGTAAGATTTATTTTATTGAATTGGAAATTGGAACGGAATTTGGAAAAGGATCAGGAAAATTTAGTATATAAGTACATAAATGATTATAATTTTATATTGTTATGAAAAATGAAACTGGCTAAAATTCTATATACATCAATATTTACATAAGATAAAAGGACAGAAATTGAAGTAGGAAAAGGAATTTTAATGGACAAAAGCGAGGAAATAAAAGCGGAACGGTCATGTCGAGGACAAGCAAAGAATATATGGTTAAAATCCCCAACGTCATTGCCACACTCACATATATCGCTAGGCAAAAGTTTAAGTCGTGCCAAATGCAAGGGAATGCATGCATGGCCCAGCCTCATACGAATAAGGGTCGAAGTGGTAGCTTTACCAAACGTCAGATTTGAAAACCACGTTTTAGGAGGTATATCCACCTGGATCGTGCTATAATATCGACCTATAGTCTGACTTGAAGAACGCCAAATATGTGTCCAAGAATTCAATAACTGGGATTTAGGAAGGAGAGCCAAATCACAACAAAAGTTTTTGTACGGAACTAGATCTCCGTCATTGACTGCAGCTTTGGCAAGGCTATCGGCCTTGGTATTGCCAAAGATACCTGAGTGCCCCGGAATCCAAGCAAAAGAAACTGTGTAATTTTTGATGCAACATTGATACAATAAATCACGACATGCAATAATAACTGGATGATTATTTCTGTTACTGCTAAAAGGAAATCTTTCCAAGGCTTGGAGGGCACTTTTAGCATCGGTAAAAATTATTGAGTTTTTTAACTTCATGATTAAAATGTACTCCAGAGACTTCAACAGACCAAAACATTCTCCAGTAAATACTGAAGTCTCTGGAGGCAATTTTATTTTCTGTACAATGCCAAACTGTTGATGGAAAACGCCAACTCCCACACACTTCTCGGAACCGGGTTTGGAAGAATCACTAAAAATTAAATGGCAATGTTTCCATCGGCTGTCACTGTCAACAATATTAATAAATTTGGCGTTGGCAGAAGGATCTTGTTTACATACACCGAAATCAAACAAAATAGATGGTTTTAAAATTAAGGCATCATAGTTAACACAAAATATAGGAAGGAATTGTGATCTATGTGTTGGAGCTTGAAGAGCTAAGAATTTTTGGAGACTAACAATAAGGCATGGCGGCGATTTATGAGCCCAGTACGGATAGTCCATACATTCCAACAGAGACCGTAACTTAGAGTAAAGAGGATGATTATAGACTTGGAATGCTCTAAACAGGAACCTGTCACAAAGAAATTGTCGTCTGAGATGCAGGGGCGCTTCAGAACATTCAACCTGCAAAGCGTTAATAGGGCTCGAACGCATAGCCCCAGCAATTATTCTCAGAGCCTTAGACTGGATAATGTCTAACTTATGGAGAGCTACTGCATTACAGGGTTCAAGAATAAATGTTCCATAGTCTAAAATACTCCTTATTAGGGCATTATATAGAAGCTTTAGAGAGAAAGGGTGGGCTCCCCACCAAACTCCAGAGAGGCAGCGCAGTATATTTAGAATCTTCTCACATTTGGCACTTATATAGTAGCAATGAGGGATGCCTGTAAGTCTCGAGTCTAAAATTACTCCAAGAAATGTTGCTTCGCTTTTAACGGGAACTCTAATGTTATTATAACACTGTACAGACACTGGAGGAGGAAACCTCATACGTGAAAATAAGACTATACTACTTTTAGAAACTGAAAGGCTGAGACAGTTATTGTCAAGCCAAACTTTTAGTAACTTAAGGGAATATGTCATAGTATCAGACATGTTGTGAACAGAATCACCAGAGACATAGAGGAGTAAATCATCTGCATATTGGAGTGTGCTAACTTTACCCTTAAGGGAGGCTTCCAGATCATGAGAATATATATTGTAAATTAAGGGACTTAAAACTGAGCCCTGGGGTATACCTTTCCAGGCAATACGGGATTGGTAAGAGTCTTCTGATATTACTTTAAGCATTCTACCAGAGAGAAGATTGATTGTGAATCTTATAAAAATTTGTGGGATATCCAAATTAATCATTTTTTGTTTCAGAATTGAAAGGTTGACATTATCATAGGCTGCAGATACATCTAAAAATGCTGCTAACACAGAGTTATTGTACGAAAAAGCCAATCTTAAATCTGTCATAAAAATGCTGAGACTATCCATTGTACTCCTACCTTTCCTAAATCCAAACTGGTTTGGAGATAGTAACCCCTTACTCTCAATAAACCATTCTAACCTATTTTTAACTAAATGTTCGGAAATTTTGGAAATAACTGAACCTAATGCAATTGGTCTGTAAGATGATGGATCATTAATCGGTTTGTCGGGCTTATGTATTGGGATAACTTCATGGATTTTCCATGATGGAGGAATATTACCTGTTGTTAAAATTGAATTAATTAAACTAAGAAAATAAGAAAGGCAGGAGTCGTTCAGGTTTTGAAGAAAAGAATATGGGATTCCATCACAACCTGGGGCTGAGTCCCTAAGTTTTGAAAGAACCCCTTTGAGTTCTGAAAGGCTAAAGGAAATGAATGAATCGCTACTATCATGCTGGGAGAGGAGAGAAGACTGTAGGTCAGAAGAAATATTATCTATAGATGGGACAAATGGTGGAGCTAATTTATCAAGAAACAAATCAACTGTACTGCTATCCATAAAAGGAGACCTTGGAGGCTTAAAAGCTGATCTGAATCTACGAATATTTTGCCAAACTTCAGATGGAGAAATGTCTGGTGAAATTGAGGCACAAAAAGATTTCCAGCCATTGAATCTTTTTTGTTTTAATAATTTACGTGTTTTAGTTATAAGATTACAAAGAATATTAAAATTTTGTGTTGTAGAATTTTTTCTGTAATTTTTTTCAGCTATCTTTCTCTCAGCTATCGCAGCAGAACACTCACTGTCCCACCAAGGAGGTGATGGAATATACCCATTGCCACTATTATTTTTTATAGGAAAAACTTCCTCAGCAGCCTGTAGTAGGGCCCGTGTAAAAGCTTCAGCACAAAGATGATTATTGTTGTCATTTAGTGGAGGTATAGTTGATAAATTTTGTTGAACTTTATCTCTAAATAATGACCAGTTGGCATCCTTAAGTTTATATTTTAGCCGGGGAGGAGCCTTAGACATCTTTTCGCCAATTTTTTGAGGAAATGATATAATTAACGGAAAGTGATCGCTTCCATATGACGACGATAGAGGCCACCAGTTTAATGTAGGAGCTAGGGAGGGACTACACAGGGTAAGGTCTGGTGCACTAATACCCTCATGGGGCCGAGTCCTTCTAGTAGGACAACCAGAGTTTAGAAGGCATAAATTATTATCATCTAAGATGTCTAAGATTCTAGCCCCATAATGATCAGACTTAGAACTTCCCCACATAGAATGTTGTGCATTGAAGTCTCCCATGACCAATATAGGGCGTGGGAGGGAAGATAGAATGCTACGAATATCGTCAAAGACTTCAGTGGAAGGGTGAGGTATATACATATTTACAAAACAAATATTATTTACACTAACAGCAATAATTGAAAATTTATTACTGTGATTAGGTATGGGTATGTGGACAAAGGGCACACCGCCCTTCAGAATTAGTGCAACTCCACCATACCCATCTGTTCTGTCTTCTCTAAGACAGATATGTCCTGGAATTCTAAAGTTGAATCCGGGACGAAGCCAAGTCTCTTGAAGAGAGACTGCAAATGGTTTGTAACTATTCAATAAGGAAATTAGGTCACTTTTTTTGCTATTAATACTCCGGCAATTCCATTGAATCACCAGAGACTGGTTTCGTGGATGGTCCTGACTGTCCATGAGTTAAAAAACTTTTTGAAGAAGCGGCATCGTTGGACGGTATTTTAATTAGGTTAGATTGTGAAAGGTACTGAATTATAGAAATGATGAGATCCTTTGTTATTATTTCTGATAGATCTTTGTAATTTTTGAGACAACCTGTAGAAAAGGAAGGAATGTTGCTGTAATCTTGGATAAGCTCTGCATGCGCTTTTTGATCATATCCCTTACTAGTATTTCTGGGACGAGCTTTGGGTTTCGAGAATACTGTTTTCCTATATGACTGTGTGTGACTCTTAGAAGGGCTTGTTGAATTATAGGGGCTGGAATAAGTAATAGTTCGACCAGAAGGGGCCAATGAAGCAGAAGCAACAACGTCAGCATAAGATTTCGAAACTGGTGGATGGACTTTACTGGCTTCTGAATAAGATATAGAGTTTCTAGCCATTGTTTCTTTTATAGCTTTTTGCCTAGCGTACTCCGGACACTTTTTGTCTGTGGCGAAATGGGAACCAGAACATAAGATACACACAGCATCATCTCTTTCAGTCTCGCAGCTTATACCTGAATGGTTGTCTCCACATTTGTAACACCTTGGAGAGCCTCTGCATTGCATTTTGGTGTGACCAAAACGGCAGCAATTAAAGCATTGCAGCGTGGGGTAAATATAAAGCTCTACAGATAGGGAGTTGAAACATATAAAGACCCTGGGAGGTAGCACCTTCCCATCAAAGGTTAAAACTACGGTCTCAGTTGGAATGAACTTGGGCGTTTCGCCGTCATATACCTTTCTGTTTAATCTCCGAACTTTCAAAATACTTCCACAGTTCTGCGGAAGGTCAATATTTTCCATTATATCTTTCTCATCCCAGTCACATGGAACACCTCTCACTATTCCCATGCGGGTGATAGTGAAGGCTGGAATAAATGCTTTGTATTTATTAACATCAAGAGATTTGTGATTTAGAAATGTGTTAGCATCCTGAAATGTTTCAAATTGTAAAGACAATCTGTTTCTTCCAATTTTTTTGATGCTTCCCTCTACAATGCTTTTTATTAAATTTTTTTTAAGGAAAAATCCAAATTGTACTGGGTGAATAGATCCAGTTTGATTTGGTTGTAACATTTTTTGGACATGGACAACATAAGGCGCAGGATCTGACGCCTGGTAAAGCGACCTAGCAGCGCGAGGGTTACTTGTAATATTGTTAGAGTGAGTGGCATCATTATGGTGAATTTCAGTGTTTTTATCATCAGAATCAAGCAATTTAGTAATAACATTATCCTTTAAATCGTTAGGGGAAAGTTGGCAATCTGATAGACCCGTTTGTCTGTGATTCCTTCTCTTCTTTTGGTTTCTAGCTGAAATTCTCTTTCTTTTCACCGATTTCGTGTTTTCCGAACAGTCTGTATCTATAATTGAACCTTCCGTTTCCATTCCCGACGCATCGATTGTGACTACATGAGACACCTGGAGGGATGTCCCTCCAGGGTCTTCGGGTTCCAACATGGACGCCAAGAGAAAAATCCTATTTACATATAATACAATGAAATGACTTACCAGATGAAGAAATCAAACTAAAACTATAAATAATCAACAATAACTACTAATATATATACTTTACAACTTAACTGATCCTGTAATATCAATTTAATTTAATTTTCAAAAGTTTAGCCAAAAAAGGACGCCCGCCTACTTCAAAACTTCCCGCGCTTTTCATAAAAGGTGTTATAAATATCAAGAAAACTTTTAACTTGACAGCTACGCGAAAATAAAATGACAAAATGGCGTCAGCGGGAAGGGGCAAGAGGTGGGAGGGTCGAGGGAAACGTCATTTTCTGAATTGCTCACTGCATTTCATACGGTCAAAGATTTTTGCCCAAAGATTACCAGCCGTGATACAATACAACTTTATAACTTCCTTCATACAATGTACTCTGTGACTTCCTTATGCCTGATCCACACGCTTGGCAAACAACGGCAAACAGCAAACACCAAAAAGCAATCACGAACGTGTGGATCAGGCCCGTGACAGCTTAGTTCTATTCTACGCCACTTGGCGCTACCGTCGCAATTTGTTCTCTACCGTAGATAGAGGATTGACTAGATAAAGCATTCGCGTATGCTTTTGAGATAGAAATAGGCGGGAGGTACTTTCATTGGATTACCAGATATTGTTCCATTTCCCCCGTTATGGGTTTATTTATATTCACAGCACTTACATTCATACAAGAAACTTAATTGTTACCATAAAAAATGTTCTTTTATAATTCAGATGATTAATTTAATTTCTCTTGAAAATACATTCTGTGACAAAAACTACGGGCGGGAACAGCGTAAAAACAGAATTATTATTTTATATTCAACGGCTTATCGACATAAAGGTATATATATAGATAAAGGCCGGCAACGCATCTGCAATTCCCCTGGTGTTGCGGTTGTTCATGGGCGGCGGTAGTCACTTACCATCAGGTGAGCCGCATGCTCGTTTGCCCCCTCTCCTATAAAAAAAAAAAAAAATCGACGATTTTACTGGACATTCAATAAACTCTTTGGATTTCGACGGCACTAAGTGAAGGCGCTAATAGCACAAAGTGTGATATGGCTAATAAATAACAATATGTTATTTATGTACTTAAATATTAATCGAGAATAAAAATATTAAATCATTTCATCATCATTACAGCCCTTCACAAGTCCACTGCTGAACATAGGCCTCCCCCAAAGAATCCCACAAAGCACGGTCCTGAGCCACCTGCATCCATCGACTTCCTGCATGTCTTACCAGGTCGTCACTCCATCTCGTGGGGGGACGCCCTACACTTCGCCTACCGGTACGAGGCTGCCACTCGAGAACCTTTCTTCCCCATCGGTTGTCGGTTCTTCGAGCTATATGGCCGGCCCACTGCCACTTCAGCTTACTAATTCGTTGGGCTATGTCGGTTATTCTGGTTCTACTGCGGATATCCTCATTCCTAACTTTATCACGCAGAGAAACTCCGAGCATAGCCCTCGCCATAGCTCGCTGAGCGACCTTGAGCTTCCTCATACGGCCAGCAGTGAAGGACCACGTCTCAGTTCCGTAAGTCATCACTGGCAACACGCACTGGTTGTACAATTTCGTTTTAAGGTTTTGAGGTATGTCTGACGAGAAGATGTGTCGTAACTTCCCGAACGCTGCCCAGCCGAGTTGAATCCGTCGATTGACCTCTCGGTCGAAGTTGGACTTACCTAGTCGGACTATTTGTCCCAGGTAAACATACTCGTCAACAACTTCGAGCTTAGTGCTCCCAACAATTACCGGCATAGGTGTGACATGGACATTAAACATAATCTTTGTTTTGTCCATGTTCATCTTAAGACCTATCCGTTGGGAAACACTATTGAGGTCATTGAGCATAGTGCTTAGGCCCTCCAGCGATTCTGCCATAAGGACTATATCGTCGGCAAATCGAAGGTGAGTGATGTACTCACCATTGATGTTGATACCGTATCCTTTCCAGTCCAGAAGCTTGAAAACGTCTTCCAATGCAGCGGTGAAGAGTTTCGGGGATATGACGTCACCCAGTCTTACACCTCTCTGCAATTGGATAGGTTTCGTACTCTGGTTCTGTACTCGGATAGCCATCGTAGCCCTACTGTACAAGCACTTCAACACTTCGATATACCGACAGTCAACTTGGCACCGCTGAAGGAACTGCAGCACCGCCCAAATTTCGACGGAATCAAAGGATTTCTCATAGTCCACATACGCCAGACATAGTGGCAAATTGTACTCTTCGGACTTCTGTACAACTTGCCGAAGGGTATGTATGTGGTCTATGGTGCTAAAGCCCTTTCGGAAACCGGCTTGTTCGGGAGGCTGGAAGTCGTCAAGTCTGCGCGCGAGACGATTCGTAATGACTCTCGAAAACAGCACGTAGACGCGGCTCAGAAGGGAAATCGGTCTGTAGTTCTTCAAGAAAGCGTTGTCACCTTTCTTGCAGAACAAGACCACCGCACTTCTGCTCCACGCCTCCGGTGTAATGCCACCATGGAGGACGGAATTAAAG